CGTCAGTTTCAGAATTCCTTTCCCCTCTGCTCTTCCAGTTCTGGGTGCACTTGAAGATAGTAAGACACTTTCCAACTTATTTCCCCTTACACAAGCCCCCTGTACTAATGCTGGGTGTATAGAGCTGGAGGTATGAGGGTGGGGGTGTGTGTCCCAAGAGGCAGGTTATTAACTGCATGTTACATCTGTAGGCTGTCTTTACACTGCAGGATGTTATCCTGTTAGGTGTCCCCAAGAGATGGAGAAGATTCTATTAAAAAAGGCAGTGGGAAAACTGGGAAGATGGGGAGTGCTGTTGTTTATGAGGATGGTGCCCCTCAGCCGGTGCAGGAGTGGAAGGGAAATGCCACCTATATGGGCAGCTGCAAGGACTCGTTGCTTTGCAATGGGTGTGCCAAAATAGAGCACTGCCTTTGCCTTGAATTCTGTTTTATAACACCTACAGATCAGCACAAAGTGCGCTATAAAAGAGGTAGACTTCTTCAATGAGTGTTCTGAACCCATTTTGCTGCAAAGGGCTTAACGATCCTGAGGATCTGACTGAAAATGACCATGGGCTTCCGTAACTTGTGTAGTCACCAATGCCTTATACGCTCAGTGCATTGAGAGTATCTCTGTAGCCCCATTGGGGCAATTTTCCTCATAATCCAGTGCATGTTGTAAATGTAAAGGTAGCTAAAAGCTCAGGGCACTGATCAGACTGTCAGCCAAATTACTTTTTCTGTTGCCTTTTCTCTTTCTTTATCTGCTGTGACAGTAAACATGCCTGCCAGACAATATATTTGGTATTTTTTAGCCCACAGGGTGCCACCATCTTGAGCAGGGGGTGGGGGTAGAGAGACCTGCTATTGGCCAGGAGGGAGAGGGAGCATCATGGAGAATGGGAAAAGGGGTGAGGGATGGCACACTTATTCCATAGTTGTGGGATTTGACATACAGGGAGAGAAACCCTTCTGAGCTTCTGGAGCTGATGCCATTTGGGGGTCCCCTCTGCAGGATAGTCAGGCTGAGCTGCTGCCTGGCTCTCAGAAGTCATCTCCAGTGCTACCTCTGCCTAAGTGTCTGGCTTGGAGTTAGGTGTGCTGAAGAGATTGTGGCTGTTTGGGGAAATCTCCTCCTTGCCAGGGTCTGTGGTCAGCTGGGTGCCTTTGAAACTGTCCACTGCACAGCAGGGTTCTGTGGTGGTCTTCCTCACAAAAGTCAGGCCAGCTCCTCGTACTATGCACGTTGCTGGGAGTGTTACCAGAGATCTTGTTTTTGTCCCTTGTGTTTTCATAATTCTGCTGGAGTTCCTTAGCTTGGGTGTTGCATTAGGCCATGTCCCGGGAGTCTTCTTCTGCACTTGCTCCATAGCTGCCCATAGATTGTCACACTCTGATGGCTCCCATAAAGATGGGACTGGACGTGCCCTTGTCCCCCTGAGGGCAAGGGAGTCCTGGATTTCTGGATTGGACCACATGGAAGCATAGTGCCTGACTACAATGATGGACTGTGGGTATGTGTACTTGTCATAAACTGAAATTGCAAATGAGTGCACCTACATGTGTGCCAGCATTTAAACAAGGAGGTGATAGCAGTCAAGATGACCCCTTGAGCAGTGGAGGCACACAGGTAAACAGACAGGTTGGTCCATGTGTAAATCAATGCCGTATGGCTTGGCAGTAAGACAACTGCCTAAAGTGGTGTTATCAATCTGAAATGGGAATGTATCCACACAAACTTTTTACTGGTATAACTCATTCGGTAACAAAGTTATGTTGCTTCCAGAAAGATGAATTAAAGCAGGAGAGGACGCCGAATAAATCAAAAAAAGAACTGTGTGTGGATGCAAGGGAGTTTATGCCAGAAAAAAAGCTTTCCTGTGTAGAAGATCTAACATGGAAGATCCTATGTGCTGAATCTTTGTCTTTAATCTCCCTTGGAGGATATGTTTTATAAGGCTTGGCTGGGTCTATTCTACCATTTACCTTCCATTGACTTCTCTCAGAAATAGAGGGGTGGGGGCGGGAGGCGGTATCTGGAAGAAGTGGATCTCTAGCCATTGCACCCACCAGGGGCTTTGTGCATTCCTCCATTTCCCCTCTATTTCAGGGACTCCCTACAATTTCTTCTGCCAGAGCTTCTGTGTACTGCCTATTCTCCCTCCTCCCATACCAGGGTCTGCCATCTCCCCCTCATGCCAGTGGCTCTGTGCAAACCCATTTCTTCTTCCCTCCTTCCTTCCTATTGTTCCCTCCATGTCAGGGGCTCTGTGTCAGTCCTCTATTTCACCCTTTCCCCCACATGGTAGGGGCTCAGTATACCCCCTGCTCCCAGAGCAGAATCCCCCAGTATCCCTCACCAGAGGTTGTGTGCGCCTGCCATTCTTCCCTCCCACATTCTCTTCCCATGGTAGGGTCTCTGTGTGTTCCCGATTCTCTTTTCCCCCTGCCAAATGCTCCCTATCCTCCCTACCTTCACACCCATACCATGGTCCCTCAATCTCCCCCCTGCAAGGGGTTCTGTGTGCTCCCCATTTCCCGCCCTGCTACAGGTTCTGTGTGCACAGCCCTCTCTTCCACCCACACCATTGTTGTTTCTCTGGGAGAAAAGTTATTCAGGGTTTGAACATGTTCAACTATATTGGGAGAATGCATGGAGATGAGATGGGATATTGTCATGCTGAAAGGCATTATGGATGCCATTACCCAGTTTGATCTGCAGGCAATTGCAGAGGTGCTTGAAGTTGTGGCTGTACTAAAGAGATGGCGGGGCCTCCATGTGTGCCTCATTTTCCTCTTTCAGTTCCCCCCAAATCAATAGGGTTCTGGCCATTGATGTCTAAATAGTCCCTGAAATTTTGGAATTCATATGATGCAACATTCAAAGTTATCCGATTACAGAGAGACAAATGCCATCAAGCTGAGTGTATGCCTTACAAGCTCAGCTGACCAATTTGTAGTACACTAAATATTCATGATGAAAATTCTTCAGTCCTTGTCTCCATATAAAATGTTTCCTGTCTCAATATACTTCATGAAGACTTGCATGCTGTTTGCAAAGTCATATCCTCAAAACCTCCGCTTCTCCAACAATGATCAATTCATGTTGCTTGCACTTTGATATTGCCGATCTGATGGTGGTGCTAATGATGAAATCCTCTCCATTTTATCTGGATGACTAGCTTATCCATTCCCTGTCAACCGAGGGCATCAGAAAAGCTGGTCAGGAGGCTCTGAGCCTATTTCAGGAACTCAATAGAAGACTACAAAAAAGCTCTCAGAAACATATGTTTATCTTGACTATATACAGTACATCCAGGTAATATCCTTTCAGTGAAAGGACCACAAAACTGGAACTGCTATGAAACCCCTCTAAGCCAAGAAAGTTTGCCAGATTGCACGTCTCCTGTTCTCTCCTGCATAATTAGCAGTCACATTTTTATTTTTTAACTCCTGTGATTCTGTGCATACTAATGGGTTGTCAGGAGCTAGTTTTTTGGTCTCAGCTTTGGTCTCAGTGAGTTGTCTGTTTACACTGTGAGCTTTTGGAGGCAGGGATTGTCTATGTTTATATAAAAATCTGCATAGTGAGGCCTCTAGGCACTACCATGATAGAAATAAAATAAACTGTCTACGTTCATTTTATTTGGAAGCGTTTAGGGGAAATTGGAACTACTTCCTTTTCTTACATATCTTTTTGTGAGGGAAGTTACAAGATCAGATCCAAAACTTCTGGGGTGCAGACTGGGACTAAAATAATTTTAGGGAAAATTCCATAATTGCTAATAAATGAGTGCTAATGTTTCCCTTCTAGGTCGAATACATCAAGCTATGGTAACATCTCTCAATGAAGATAATGAAAGCGTTACCGTTGAATGGATTGAAAATGGAGACACTAAAGGCAAAGAGGTACACTAAATAATTTAGAACTCCTCTCTCTCTTCTTTTTTTTTTTTTTAACTTTCTAGAATAAAGACAATTGGAATGCTCTTTTCTTTAAACTCTGTATATTTTATCTTGAACCTGAATTAATTCATACAGTAAAACTACTGGAAAGTTTTTGTTTGTTTGTTTTGTTTTGTTTTAATTAAATTAAATTGTGATTCCGTGGTTCCAAATATTGTTTAATGTGCATCATAGAACAAATGACATCAGTTTCTGTGGTGCTGTATTTTATTTCCTGAGTATACATTTCTATAATAATACCGAGTTCTTATGTAGCGCTTTTCATTATAGATCTCAATGTTCTTTACACTGTCAGTCAGTCTCATTATCCCCATTTTACAGACGGGAAACTGAGACAGAGAGAGGGAAGTGACTTGCCTAAGGTCATCTAGTAGGCCCGTGTCAGAGCTGGGAATAGAAAAACTCCTTTTTGCAATATAATAGAACCAAACTATTGATGCTTTCTTTTATTTATATAATTTTCAGGCAACCAAAATTGTTCAAAAATTTTCTTCAGCTGAGGATACACGAAGTATCTCCATTTACAAAGCTAAACAAATGATGGACTAAAATCACTAAAGGTGTCTGCTTGTCTGTGTGTAAATGTAAAAAGCCTCACAAGTGTGCGTGTCTTTTTTTTGTTTTCTTCTTATTAACAGATTGATTTGGAGAGTATATTCTCACTTAACCCAGATCTTGCGCCTGATGAAGATATTGAACCCAGCCCAGAGACTCCACCACCTCCCACTCCTTCAGCCAAAGTAAACAAGATTGTGAAGGTTGGTAATATGTTCAATGAAATTACTATCGTCTCATTCATATTAGTATTTTACCTGTAATGTTTAAGAATGTTAAGTTTAATTTTCACTTCTGTGCATTATAAGCTAATTCAGGAATATTTTAGAAATCCATATCATCATGAAAAAATTTACGATATTTCTGAAGGGCAGAACTGGAAAAAGAAGAAATCAGCAATTAACCTTAATGATCTTACAAAGGGGACAGAGTGCATTTCTTAGCTTGGAACCAACTTTAAACTTGTTAAATATAGCTTGTGTCCTTTATTGTGAAATGTTTGTATATCTCGAGGAAAATGATATTTGGACCTTTTGTCTTAGAGAAGGTTTTGGAGGTTATTAAATGATACATTTAGCTCGCATCCTGTATCCTCTTCATCATATGTGCTGCTGGGAGGGACTGTGCAGCACCACCTCCCCAATACTGCTCATGCTGATATCTGTGATTACTTCTGTTCACTGAAAGTAAGCAGAGATTGGGCTACTACTTACAAAAGAGGTGATAAAGTGAACAGATTATAGAGCTTTCTCTCTTTATAGAATCGACGGACTGTGGCTCCTATTAAGAATGAAACTCCTGCCAGAGACAACAGAGGTAAACGACCAGTTGTATCTTTCCATTCCACAAAGCAAGAAAGTGAAAATGTTAAACTGACACTTATTTATAGTTCTCTAGTATCCTACGTTTTCTCTGGTTTATTACTTGGCCATGTTAAATTTAATGGGTAGGGGGAGTAATTACTGGAACTATTCTGATGATGTATTTTTAAAAAGTTAGTATGTAATCAGTTTTATATAAAAGGCCTCGTTTATATTTAAAACTTCTATCGATCTAGTTACCGCCACTTGGGGAGGTGGTGTTCCTACACAATGGGAACAACATCTGTAGCTGTAGGTTGCATCTATGCTGTGGGGTTATGCTGGTATAGCTATGGTACCATAGCTGTGGTACTATAGTCTCTAGAGTGTAGACATGGCCTAAGTTCAGTATTAGAGATTTAGTGCATGTCTATATTTTATGCATCACTTATTTATGTATCTAGTAAATATATTCTTTAAAACAGCCGCTTGTCATATTTCACGATTTCAGACATTCCTTTGTGCTTTTGATACTACTTTTGTTTGTTCCTCAATTCAGTATTTAATTAGTCTTTAAAAGCATGTCTACAGGACACTCAGGAAAGTTAAGAGTGAATTAAGCTAAAGTGAACTAAAGTCACTTTACCTCTGAATTATGAGCATCAACACAGGACTTTAATGCATTTCAGATTCATGTCTTCAGTTAATTTAGCTGAACTTGCAGCCGTGTGTAGACATGCCCTTAGAGCAGTGATACACAGACTGAGGCTCGGGAGTCGCAAAGTGGCTTTTTAATGTGTCTCCTGCAGCTCTTTGCAGCACATGATATTAAAATAATGTGTGATTTAATTATTAACCAATCTAAGTTATTAATCAGTCAGGACTCTTTTACTATGTTATTAACCAATTGTAGTTGAATGTATGTATGTTAAAAAAACTGACCAGGTATTATTATTTTATCAACTACAATTGGTTAATTTTATATATATAATAGTAAATGAAACAATGAATTCACATTACTGTGGATTTTTTGAGTAATACTGATCGCTAATTTGGCTCCTGAATCACTGAGATTTGAGTATCACTCCTTTAGAGACTACTTAAATACTGGATTGATCAACAATCAAAAGCACAAAGGAATGCATTGTAAAAAACCAGCAGATGGTCCCCAAATGTGAGCAGCCAAGTCCTGGAGGCTCAGTGGCCTAGAGGGGCAAGAAGCCGGAGGATTTCAGGTTGGCTGGAAGGAGCCAGGGAAGTGAGGGGCAATTTTGGCTTTAGTACTGCGGGCAGCCTCTGTGAAAGCAAGGAGGACTGTGCCGCATGCAGGGCAAGTGTGTGAGAGCCTGGGGTGCGGTACTGTGATGGACTGGGGCGGTTGGTGAGCGCTTAGGCTTGTGTGCGTCCTGGGAGAAGGTGAAGACCCCCGGGGAGTATCATACCTCACCAGGCTGGAGGCCCAGACTGAGCAGACACAGAACCAATACCTTACCAGGCTATCACATCTCCGCTCCATGTGCACCACTGGTGGGATTAGAGGCCTCCGGGGTGGGTGAGGTTAGTGAAGGTTTTGGGCACCTCTGGAGGTGGGGGAAGGATTGTGCTGTTGTTGAATTCCCTTAAGTTTCCCAGACGTATTCCAGCCCATTGGTCTGTACCCATTCCCTTGCCTGACATTCTTTTATATAAATAGTTGGAATACCCCTCTGTGTGTTATTGGGTTTTGTGTCAAGACTTTCTGGACTCATGTAAGCAAAGGGGGCAAATGCTCAACCTGGAGAGGAATAGGCGCAGGCTCGATAGCTTAGGGCATCTACCAGCACCTCTGTCCAGCATGAAGAGGTTGACACAGCATGAAATATGACAAAAGGGTGTTTTTAAAAACATGTATATTTATTAGATAAATAATAATGTGATGCATAAAATCTCTAAAAAATACCAAAATAAACATGCGTTATCTAGCTAAGGGAGTTTTTGTTCTCTCCGCTGTGTCAAAATTATTTAATCTTTACTGACCATGCTTACCTGATTTGTCAGCATTACCACTATGTCACATTAGAACAATTTTGTTAAATGATTTAACTTAAAAATCTTTGAGTGGTCTCTGCATATTCCTATTTGTGGGATCAAGGAACCTGCATCATAAGCTTCCAGAATCTTCTGATGGGCAATTGGGACCACTCACTCTGTCCCTTCTCCCTCCCTAGACAGAGACTTCCATTGGACAAAAGGGGGAAAAGAAAATTTCAGTGTGTATTGGCAGGGAGAGGGGAAGAATTCTTGTTTTACATTCATTTGATTGGCCTAAATTTAAAACATTTAATTACATAAGTCGTGTCCTTCCTTTCATTATATTAATTCACTTGTTTAAAAATAAAAATTTATAAATCTAGCTCTGCAAATGTTGATATTGTCAGTGTTGTCTGTGTCTTTGTACAGTAGTAACTTCAGCTTGGTGCAGGAGAGCTGTGTAACTCTCATTCACTGTGATGGGAGCTGCACTTCTTATCCTACACCTTTTACTCTAAGAATTTTTCCTTTTTTGGTCATTCAGTTAAGCCTTTGTGTCAGTATACTATTTTGTTCAATAAGTTGATTGATACTGTAAACTAGATCCCATCTGTTGATGAATTGGAACTCTGATGTCTTATCATATTTTCCCCTCAACTATACCAAGGGAGTGTTTGTTTGTCCATCCATGTGTTCGCTGCTCCCACAGTTGTCTTCATACTCTAATTTCATGTTGCCTTTCTTGCATGGACTGTCCTGTCGAAATTGCTACTCAGATCTTTACTTTCTCCTCCTTCAAATCCCTTCTCATAACCCACTATTTCTGTGATGCTTACAGGAACTTGGCCAACTGAAAAGGGATAGTTTTAAGCATCAGTTATAGGTACAGTTTAACATCTCTGGAAAAAAAATCATGCCATAAAGATGTAAAACATTAAACACTTGCCACTCCCATTGACTTAAGTGGGAAGATGGGATTGCTCAGCACCTCTGAAAATCAAGCCACACGAATATATAAAAAATGCACATATTTTTATTGTATCTTTGACACCTAACCTTTATATGTCACCTGCCCTTAGCTGCCAAAATAAGAATGGGATGTGTCTATAAGCATTCAGTCTGCTCTGCTCTGCTTTGTATATTGTATCCTGTTCCTTCTTTCTTTTTCTGCCCCACACTCCTCCCCACCCCCAAATATTGCAAGCTCTCTGAGGCAGGGACTATGTATTATGTGTGTGTTCTAGGTGCTCTATGGGACCCTTGTCTTGGTTTGGGTCTTTAGCTGTAACCACATCTCAGTTTCCCAGACGTGCAAATAAATAACTCAAAATTTTAGGTCCCAGTACTACAATCACAAATATATGGTTAACTTCACTCGTGAATAGTTCTACTTACCTTAAGTTAAATGCTTGCTTAAATGTTTGTGGGATTGAGGCCTGAGTTGCTAGTTTATGTTGATTATAATTAGGGCTCTCTGTTTCTGACTTTCCGTGACCTCTGTGACTTCTGCGGGGGCTACTGCAGCTGACCCCAGGGCTGCCCAAGCAGCTGGCTCTCCCCCAGCAGCAGCCTCTCCAGACATCCCCCTTCTCCAGCACCGACCCCCTTAAGGTTTAGTCAGAGGTATTTATAGTAAAAGTCATAGACAGATCACGGGCCATGAATTTTTGTTTATTGCCTGTGATCTGTCCATGACTCTTACTAAAAATACCCAAGACTAAATCTTAGTCTTAATTATAACATTAGGATTAGTAATTCACTGTATAGTGTGTCTTAACTAAAAACATACCTTTAATTTTTTCTAGTAAACTATTTGTTTACTTAGATGTCACTAAAAGACCTTTTTTGTTGTGTTTTTTATCATAAAATATTTCAGAATCTGACAGTAATATGGGAAATGTGAAAAGGTCATTCTATTAAATGAAAAATTTGTTAAATGTTCATGTTAAGATTAGTTTTAGACCATTTTATGTTTTTCTTTTGCAGCGGTTGGTTCTGCACGTGCACGGCCTACTCAACTTCCTGAACAGTCTTCCTCTACACAACAGAATGGTAGTGTTTCAGATATATCTCCAGTTCAAGCTGCAAAAAAGGAATTTGGACCCCCTTGTATGTAAACCACGTATCAAGGATTCATTCATTTTAGGCATTACATGTACAGTCGCTTGGACATCTGTGTAATCCATAATTGTTGAATGGTCTAAACACAGTTGTGTCTGTAGGTCTCCATAAGAAGCATTTTCAGATTACTGTGGGAAACAAAAGGTTGAGTTCTGTCATTGTTCTGTTGGTAATTAGGTTTTAAATTTTTCCTTCAATTTTTTTAAACCTTGACTGTTCATTTAAAAAACATTTAAAAAATTATTTTAAATTGTCCAGTCTTTTTTAGTTCAAACCAAGCGATCACATAAATCAGTTAGTATGTTTTTGAGGGCCATTATCTGTTATATTTTTATTTGGGTATTTCTTGTCCAATTCCCATGAATATTTCTGAACTTTATTAGCTTCTGAATTAAAAAAACTAAAGTTGCAGTAGTTATGCTTTGCTAATATTGAGCTGTTTGAGGAGCTCATCAGTGTAAAGATTTAAATTATAATTATTGATAAAATAACATAATTGAAAACTTGTAGTGTAAATATTCAATCCATGTGACAATTGAATATTCAAAAAAGTATCTTTTTCTTTAAGCACGTAGAAAATCTAATTGTGTGAAAGAGGTTGAAAAATTGCAAGAGAAACGTGAGAAAAGAAGGCTACAGCAGCAGGAACTTAGAGAAAAAAGAGCTCAGGTTTGTATTGGTAGTTCAGAGCTGAATTCTACACATCGCAGAAAGCCTGTGGTGAGAAGATCTATGCTAAGTTATTGCGATCTTTATTGTTTATATAAACTATGACTAGCCTGAAACTAAATGTTTTCTTCGTATGTACAAAACTGAATGATTAGTCTTCAAGTTCCATAGTCATTTAGGGTGCATGGTTGTGTTGTTATGGTAACTCACCTTATCATTTTATCTGATTCTTTTGTTTCACATACATTTATTATTTAAGTTTTGCATTTGCTGGTCTGGCCATAAATACTTACAAATGCAATCTCAGTGATAACTGTTGCCTAAGAAAAACACATGGACAAAAATATTAAGATCCTTTACCTCAAAATATAGCATAATATTTGTGACAAATTACCCTTTTCTTATCTTCGATGGGGTGTGAGTGGCATATTTGAGAGCTTGAGGTTTGAAGAATGTTTTTTTTTAAATACTTCTACAGACATTTTAATTTTGTAACATACAAGCAATATGGCCGTAAGTTGTTAGAACTTTCTGTTAAAATGTGAAGTGGCTAATCCTGTAAGAGAAATATTTTAAAATTTAATGACTTTGTCACAGGAGAGTAAAAGATTTAGAAAGACCAGTAGCATAATCTTGTTGGCAGTCCTGTATGTATGTTTTAGTCTCTAGGGAGATACTAGCAATCTGCTAAGGACATAAGTACCACCAGAAAGTAAATGATTCAAGCAACTTGATTTCATGGCTTTATGATGGGCCTAAGCTTATCTAAAAGGATATACGTGGATTTTTTTTTCTTTTTTCATCCATTTAAATGAATCAGAAAGGTACTGTTTCTTTCTATGAGAACAAATAATACTTAAATACTTTAAAAATACAGGATACTATTTTTTGAGATTCTGCCTGCATTAAATCTTGAATTAAATCTTAAATTATTTGATTCCAAGAAGCCTTTTTTGTGTCTAGCATTTCTAAACTTCTGTATATGGGAGTTACTCTGCTGATCTGTGTGACTATGCAAGTGTGTTGTGTTCGTTTTCAAAGGTTTCTTTTTTAAAATTCAGCAGTATTGGAGTACTACTCTAATCAAAGCCTTTTCAGTTCTTGAACCCCAAGTGCAAAGTTTTCAGAATAGCAGTAAGGCCAAGACTTTTTTGTAATGAACAGTGTAACTTTCTGAATCTTAGAAAGAAGCAGGCATGAAGGTAACACATTTTATGTAGATTTATGTAGGATAATTTTTCAGTTTTTATAAGTGGGTGATGATGAATTTGTAGATGACCTATTTTATTTTTATTATTATTATTTATTATTACTTTAGGCAGTATTATTTTAATGGAGAAGGTTTTGGGAAAGGGCAAGAGGTCCCTCCCATCCCCTTTCAAGTTTTCTTATGTTGAGTCATTAGCAAGGTTGATTTATAGGCAACCCAAAACATAAGTTAATTTTAAAATTGAACAGAATGCTTGTGTTTTTTTTGGTTTTGGTTTTGCCGTAGAAATCCAGCTTGTTTCTTGATGAGTAAAATAGTCACATGGTCAAAACTAATGATGTGTGAAAAATATGTGGTTTAACTTTTGCAAAACATGCCTTTTTGAAGAAAGTTAAAACTTCAGCAAACATGGTATACTTCTATTCTTGTTTCTGTAGCTTTTCTATAATTATATTTGGAAAGTATTTGCAAGTGTCATGTTAATGAAAACTTTGTAACTCTGTTTTTTTTCCATAGGATGTTGATGCTACAAACCCAAATTATGAAATTATGTGTATGATAAGAGATTTCAGGGGAAGTTTGGATTATAGACCATTGACAACAGCTGATCCTGTAAGTTTACCTCAGGAATTGTTTTTAAAAGGCAAGGATTTTCTTCACAGATTTTTTTTTTTAGCCGTTTATATCGTTTTTCTGCACTTGAATTTTTTTTTAAAGATATTAATGTACTTGTGAAGCAGTGAGGCCCAGATTTTTAAAAGGTATTTAGGCATTTCAGTGTTGAACATTGCGGTGTCTAAGTCCCATTTTCAAAAGTGACTTAGGCTCCTGAGTCCCATTGACATTCAATGAGATTGAGGCTATTAAGTGCTGTAGTCGCTTTTGAAAATGACTTGGACATTGCAGTGTTGAGCGCTGCAGGATCTAATACCTTTTACAAATCTGGGCCTGAGTGATTAAACACCTAAAAGTAGTTTTTGTACCCTAGGATTATAATTCTGTAACTTTTAACTTGTTGAATGCCATTTGCATTGAAAGGAATTATTAAATTTTATGTCATTAAAATGTGCGCTGGCACTACAGTATTAGAACTCTACCAATGTACATTTATAGGACAGAATCTTCAAAGGAGTCTAAGGTGTCTAACTCCCTTAGGTTCCTTTGAAAACCCAATTCTAAATGTGTAGATTTAGGGCCTTATCTTGAAAGGTACTGAGACCATCTCCTATCTCAATGGGGCAGACTCTGAGCTGGTGTAAAATGTCATAGATGTATTGAAATCAGTGGTGCTGTGATAATTTACACTAGCTGAGTATCTGCCCCAGTATGAGCAGAGGTTATGCAACACCATACAGGATGTGTTCTGCACCCTGCAGGATCTGGTCTTAAGTGTTCATAGCAGTGAATATAGAGTTGTGCCCCATGGGTTGTTGGATACTGCACATTTTTGAAAGTTCAGATTTACTACCTTCAGAATAACTGGTATAGTGATCAGACTTTGAAAACACTCTCCATTAAAATTAGTACTTAATTCACTGAAAGATTTTTTAATTTTTATTTTTGGTAGATTGATGAACACAGGATATGTGTTTGTGTACGAAAACGGCCGCTCAATAAAAAAGGTATGACCATTTAATGTTTAGCTGGTATTAATCTCACTAAGCAGCAGCTTCTGGTGGTATTTGATCGTATTTGCATTTTGGAATCACCTAGAGGCACCAACCAGAATTAGGGCCCCATTAAACTAGGCACTGTGCAAACATGTAGTAAGAGAGAGTTCCTGCCTCAAAGAGTTTATAATCTAAATAGACAAAATGAGCAAAAGGTGGTAGAAAAGTAGTAATAGTATTATCATTTTGCAGATAGGAAACTGAGGCACAGAGTTTAAGTGACTTGAACAAGGTCACATAGGAAGTCTTTGGTTGAGCTGGGAATTGTACTGTAATATCTTGAATCCTATTCCAGTGCCTTGACCACAAAGTCTTTTTTTCTCCAATTCACTCAGATTTTCTTCTAAGTGATCAGTAATCTATTAACTTATCATGTAACAACCTAATAACAGTTCTTCCTCAGTATGTTCATTTGTATAATAGAAAATATGTATATTTGTAACCTAAAGTAAAAAATCAAAATGACTGGCCTTTAAACTATAATTATATATACATAGCACAGTCTTACTCAAATGTGTGGTGGGTTTAGTAATACATCCTTTCTGAAACAGAAATATCATAGTTAGCCAAGATGATGAAAACAGACTGATTGATTGAAATATTTCATAGGTCTTTTAGGATAGAAAGTGGTATTATGTCAAGACATTAAATGAGGACAGTTGTGTGCAGGATTTTAACAGACAAGATAATGGTTCGAGGTGTGGTCAAAATGGTTCCCCACTTGTGCAATGGAAGGCATGGGAATAATAATCCAACAAATCTCTTGTAGAATTCCATCTGATACAAAGAATATTTGAGAGCTACCTGGCCGAGAGACCACACTAACAGTCCTGTATTCATATAGTTGCCAGTTTCTCCTTTACTACCCACTACTGACTGGAGTTCAGTCATCACTGAAATAAATTAACTTACTTTTTGAAAAAAGTTTGTTCCCCTCTGTTAAAATTTTCAGGGATATCTTGGTTGGCCGAAGATTTCAGAGCATAATTTTCATACCCTCAAAATACTAAATGGTTGCAATGAGTCTTTTGGAATTGTGTCCCAGAATGACACATTCACTTCAACAAGACCGGAAGTGACCAGGGCCGCCCGGGGGGGGGGCAAGTGGGGCAATTTGCCCTGGGCCCCGCAGGAGCCCCCACGAGAGTTTTTTCGGGGCCCCTGGAGTGGGGTCCTTCACTCGCTCCGGGGGCCCCAGAAAACTCTCGTGGGGCCTGGGCTCCCAGAGCTTCTTACGCTCTGGGTCTTCGGCGGTGGGGGGTCCTTCCGTTCCGGGACCCGCCGCCGAAGTGCCCTGAAGACCCGCGGCGGGGGGTGCTTCTGCCCCGGGACCCGCCGCTGAAGCGCTGGGTCTTTGGGGGCCCCCGCCACCGAAGACCCCAGGCCCCCTGAATGCTTTGGGTGGCCCTGGAAGTGACAGGAGAATTTTGGAGAAGGGGTGGGAGAGAAAGGTACATTGTTATTTATACACAGTGAGAGCTCTTCTCTCTTGCCTTTCTTCCATGTTTCTTCTTTCATTATTCCTTGATTGTTTTCAGATCAATAAAACAGTCACAAAATCAGGTTATTTAAAACTGCTCCCCACAGCCTGGTTGGTTAGAGACATTCAGCACATGAATCTGGTAGCAATTCAATTTTCATTTTAGCATTGCAGTTCATCTTTATTAAAATATGACTTAGGAATCTAATACATTTGGGGAGAATGCTGTAGGTGATAACTAATTGGACAAAGCTAATTAGAGAGGAAACAGCAAATTGGCAGCCTGTTGTCATGAGTCATGACTTATGGGTCTTTTGTGGTGCAGAACTGGGTCTGGTTCTGTTCCAGTCGTCTATATTGGTGGTTGACATCAGTGAAGGAACTGATTCTGTGCAGGATGCTCGAGAGATGAGCAGCTGATTGGAAATGGGATATAAGATTGAAGTTTTGCATCTGCAGAAGGAACTAAAAAGATTAATTGTGGAAGAACCATAGTGCCCCCCCCCCGGCGCGAGCCTCCTCCGGGCTCCGCCTGTGGAGGCAAAATAACTGGACAATTTGCGTCCCGACCGAACATCGGTCAGGACGCGGGACAATGAAGTAAATATTGGGACAGTCCCGATAAAATGGGGCGTCTGGTCACCCTAGGTGTACACATAATAAATTTAATAACATTCTGAAAAACATGCACACTTTTATTGTGGAGGTTGATAAGGGAACAATATTTTCAACTGCCCCAGTCTTCTAACTGGAAAAGAAAAAAGACTTGGAGAAACTTGTGTATGGTAGTTTGAAAGGAGAGAAGGTGAATAGAGAGCTTATTGTATTAACAAAGGAATAACTCGTATATTCAAAAAAATAGTGTTTCCCTATTCAAGCTACACATTTGGAATATTTTTACTGTATAAGTCACCTAGTTTAAAATGGGACATAAAAGACTCAATTTTTACCAATCTTACACACGCCAAATTCACTGAAGTCTGTGGGCGTTCCATGCTTGCAAGAACTGGGCCGGGCCCTAAAATAGCAAGGTTCAGATAATTAGAAGATTTCATTTGAGTGATATATTGTTAGTTTCTTAGGAAACAGGCAGATTAAAAATTTTTCAGTTTTGTAAAATCTTGGTTTAAGAAAAAACTTACTCATGATTTACAATAGCTTGATGAGATCATCCTAGGACATGGGCCAAGACCCAGTCACATTTCAGTGTTAAACTGTGATGTCCAGTAATTAACATAAAGCAAAAGAAATTTCAGAGGTTATCCCAGAGGGTTATCAGCAAGTAGCATAGGCTGCCATATCAGATGATTATGACAGACATTATAAAAGACTATTTAAGACTATCCCTCATACACATTCTGACTACTTAGAAGTGAGGTACAGTTTTGATGCAAAGTATGGACCTATTAAACTCTCCTTTCACCTACATTCTTCTGTGTGTCAGTTCCACATTTACTGCAGAATAATGCACATTTTCAATGTGCAGTACTGCACTTGAAAACTGAGTAATTTACTTGGTAACTTGGATTTATACTTTAGTTACTTCCTAATACCCGTGTAATTAAAAGATGATGGCCAAGAATCAAAACATAATTATTGAAGTCAAAACCTTCCATCTAATTGTGGAAAACTACATTGTATTCTTAAATTGTGAGCCTCAAAGAGATTTTTATATACAGACAGAAGCAGGGCACATCAGTGGTCTTGACTATATACAAAGGATCTTTATTTTTGTGCATCTTGTAGATGACTGGGTTCTCTGTGTGTTTCACTGATTCATACATCTCATGCAATTAACAAACTGTAGTGATGTGTAGTAATTATAGCCCATGAACTTAATAATGCATTTCTTTTGTTTGTTTGAGAAGATAGGTAACATCCTTTGAAATTTGCAGCCTTTTCTTCTAACAAAATAATTTTAAAAGGGTTTTCACTTTAGCAGAATAAAATTTTAAAGATCAGTTTTTATGCTTTGCTGACTAAAGAATCTGCTCCTGGAGTGATTGTGAATGAAGCTATATTGTGTATAAAATGGAATAAAAAGTTTCCATGGTTGAAAAATCTTCATATAGCTATAAGGAGTTAAGCAAAGGGCATGTGTGGAAAAATAAATGGTACCATTTGTAAAAATGTCCAGCTATGTAGGTAATAATTATATTTATGAATTTAAGATTGATAATCAAAATAGTGTTGGATTGTAGTTGTCCAGCTGAGGAGGGGATGTAATTTGTTTGTTTGTTTTTGTTTGTAAAAAAGCAAAACATAAGGCAATAATCTTTGGATATGTCATAAATAAAACCTTAGAAGAACTAAAGCATTTTTTTTAGAAAGTAATTACAGAACAAACAGGCAATTGTGAATTATGAAGCTGTCATTCTTTCAAGTGATACTAGAAAGGTGCTCAGAAACTGCATTTTCAAAACTTTAGTAATTTGTATAATCACTAGGACTCCATGATGGAATTACACACTTACAAATCATAATGTGCCTGATTTTTTTTAAAATGTAGGGATCAGAAGCCGAGATCCATGACATCACATTTACTTGGAGCAGTTTCATTACCTTGGACATTGTAAGAATGTAGATGACCAAATGGTGTAAAAGTTAATATGCATAGATAGTGTGTATATATAGATACATATTTATATATCAATCATTTATTTTATAGAAACTGTAATGAAAGACCTTGATGTAATCACAATTCCTAGTAAAGATGTTGTGATGGTACATGAACCAAAACAAAAGGTGGATTTAACAAGGTACCTAGAAAACCAAACTTTTCGCTTTGACTATGCCTTTGATGACACTGCTCCTAATGAAATGGTTTACAGGTATGTGTATACACTTTTTGTGACAATTTTCCTATTTCTTTTCACTTTCTGTATTCTTGGGTTTATCCTTGACCCTAGACATTACTCCTCCTCCTCCAATTGGTCTTCAAATCTGTTTGCCACTTCCATAGCTTTGCCCATGTATATTTTTCCTTTAACTCAATTTGTGCTGAATTCATCTGTCCCTTAAACTCCACTTGCCGAGAGTATTGTAATTCTCTGCCCTTCCTCAAATCCCACCTTTTTAGACCAGGATGTTGCTTCCTCTCTTCTCATGCATGCAGTATGTGATCTCATGAACCCTTTCATCAGACCAGTCTGTTGGCCCTGTGGTCACTTCAGGATCCAGTTAAAAATCACCTTACATATTTTAAAAGCCCTTTATTGATGCGACTTGGAGCATAGCTATGTCTTTGCATGTTTCTTTTTCTATTTCTTTTACCAATCCCTCCCTTCATCCAGTGCTAGCCTCCGTTCTGTCCCGGCACCGTGTCTGCCCTGTGGGAACCTTCTATCTGTAGTGCACGCTCTCTCGAACATCTTGCACCCTATTTAATAATCTACATTTCTCCAATCTCTGTAAATCTTTAATCTCACTTTTCCGTTGGTATTATTTCTCTCTTATCTTTGTAACTGTACTGTTTAACTCTGAAAGGAGTTTTAAGTTTGTATGAAAGTTTGTGTATTTAGATCCTCGTGCATGGTTTCTTTCATAAAACTTAATAAAAACTGCTTGCATATATATAATTCGTACATGCATGCGCACACCCACTCTTATATTGAAACAGTAAATCTCAGATCTCTTATGTTAATAGAGGTTTCTCTCTTCCCTTCATACAACATAGTAGTGTGTTTTCTTCCATATTTTTTTCTTATTTGGGAGGATAATCAAATTTAGCTTTCCCATTAAAGAAGTATTTGAAACAAGATATGTATTTTAGTGCATTACCACCATTTAGTTATGTCACAAAGAAAAGAAGATTTAGTGTGATGAGTTCCAGTTTAATTCAGGATTTTAAATCCTCTCATATTTTTATACTGAAAGTTCTTAAATTTGGGAATTAGGAGTGTTCTACTGCATAATCATCTATTTATCTTTTTTTTTTATGACCTACTGCTATTGCAGTATTTCCTACATTCATGGCAGTCAGGCTAATGTCATCTTTTTAAATATATAAAAAAAAAGTTGTATATCATCTTAGTTTTGAACCTGATGTTTCTTCTGGATTTTCAGGAAGGACTAATCTTTGTATTTCTGAAAGCCTAGGATTGCATTTAAGGAACATACTAAGAGTAAAGTTGGAGTATATTTGGGCTTGGTACCATTTTAGCTCTTGAACTGTCAATGACTTATTTTATTAAACATTTCTTAAATATATTTGTGTTTCTGCCTTGTATTAAAACACAATGTATGTTGCATAGACTGAATTTAAGTATATATTATCAAATCCATTTATATGGAGAGCTATTTGTGCATATTCTCAGGCTAGACAGACAATATATTTTTTGTAATAGATCATAAATATAAAAGATACAACTTCCAACCTATGGTAAATGTCCCCCATATAACTCCATGTGAGAAAACAGGTTGAAGTAAATGTGCCAGAAGAAAAAAGATGCTGCAAATACATTGTTAGGTGTAAACAGTCTTGGAGGAAAAAATGGACTCTGTTGCAGTGTCTTCCTTCAGGCTCTCCTGTGCCTTGGAGGTTTTCATGAAGTAATATTCTCTGTAACAAGTAGCCAGGGGAGGGGAAATAATATTGTTATCACTTAAAAGGAAAGTTTGTGACCCCATTTCTGCATAGTTAGTGTCCCCTAGCAAATTAAGTATACTCCAGGAATCTTCAAGCTTTTCCTATCTAATCTAGGGTTTTCATTTTCTAAAGCACTGTCTCTGGCATTTGTGACCTCTTCAAAACCTCTAGAGAGTTAGTGCTTTCTTCTGACGAAAGAGTGAAAGAAATTGGAATCATCTTCCATGTTTAGTTAATCTTGGAGGTCTAATTCAGGAAGAGCATACATAAGCAGAGGAATTACTATATTAAATAGACCAACGGTTCATCTGTTCTAGTATCCTGCTTCTGGCAGTGGCCAATGCTCCCTCCTTGGGAAGATTATAAAAGCCTCCTATAATACACGTAGCCAATTGTGCAATATTGTATCATTAATATGAGGAATTTCCCTCCAAGGCTGGTTGAGTACCAATTTGTGCTTAAGTAACAAGATGGAGAGATCTTGTTTCTTTGGTTTTGGCTAATATAACTTAATTATCTGGGCCATAGGTGCTGACTTCCCCTCTGCCTGGTGGGTGCTGGACCCTGGCCCTGCCCCTTCCTGCCTATGCACGCCCTCACCTCACCCCTATTCCACCCTTCCCCAAAGTCCCTGCCCCACCCTGCCTTTTCCCAGCCCTGCCCCCTTCCCACCCGGATTCCACCCTTTACTCCAAGACCCCGCCCTTCTCCGCTTCCTCCCCTGAGCATGCCGCATCCCCACTCCTCCCTCCCTCCCTCCCGGAAAGTCCTAAGCGTTGCCAAACAGCTGTTAGGGGACGGGTGTGTGTGTGCGGGAAGTGCTGGTCGGGTGGGGGAGAGGGAGGAGTGGGGACGTGGTGCGCTGGGGGTGTGTGTGGAGAAGGAGGCAAGGAGAGGGGAGCTTGGCTGCCAGTGGGCGGAGCACCTGCTAATTTTTCCCTGTGGGGGCTCTAGCTCCAGAGCACCCACAGAGTCGGTGTCTATGATCTGGGCTACTAGTCTGTTGGGTACAGGAATTCATTCAGGGAAGTTTTATGGACTTTGTTATGTAGGAGGTCAGACTGGATGGTCACAATGGTCCGTTCTGGCTTTATAATATATGAATATGCTGGTCTATGGACAAAGTTGTCCTACTTCCATCTTTTATCTAATCTATTTTTATTCTCCCTGTTGCCTCCCTTACAGCGGAATCTAAGGGCTGAGTCACAGAACATTTTCCTTGAATTAATCTAGGGTTTGTTTATAAAGCTTCTAGTTAGAAACCATTCTTCTTCTTCAAATGATTGCTCATCAGTTCCATGTAGGTGTGTAAAAAGAACAGGAGTACTTGTGGCACCTTAGAGACTAACAAATTTATTAGAGCATAAGCTTTCGTGGACTACGCATATG